AATTTAAAATTAATTAAGCAAGTCTCAAATTACAGGCATATGGCAGTGTCAAAATTAATAAATGTAAAGATAGTATGAACAGAGACAATGGTCCAATTTCTCCCATTTCTCTGTTCCTACTGCTCTAGTTTTGTTAATTAATTGTTAAGCTCGGTTGGTTTTGACACCCTTGGCTAGTTTTTGCCACGCCTACTCGGAGCCAACTGGGCGAGTATATTAGATAGTGTTAGTTATTATATGGTTAGCAAAACGTGCGTCCAGTCTAAAAGTAAAAGAGTTTTCGTGTATTGTTGTGATTTAGTATTTTACTTTGCTATTGTAACACCAAGGTTTCAAACCCTCAACTGTAATCATTTTAATACATTTGATTTTCCCTTAAGCCCATGGGCCCCCCTCTGTATCCGCCACTGCTGTCTTACACGCTAAAATCCAGACCACGCAGTTTCGATGACCAGATCGGTATATGATTTACGCGATTAATAAACCACCTTTTCCTTGCTATTTGCTTAACCTTTTTAATTTTTAAGGTTAATGAAACTGATTAGTATCCATCTGGCCCATGTTAACAGGAGACCCTTGTCAAATAGTCCTAATGCTCCTTCCTCTCCATTAAAACAGTTCGGATCCGTTGCCAAATGCATATTTAATTGGGATAGGTCTAGGTTAAGACTTAAAATTAAACGTATGTTTAGACGGGATCGGCAGACTGCGTTAGTTTATTTTCGTTGCTGCCCCTTATTATGCATATTTTTAGGTGAAGATTCTTTTGAACAAGTTGTAAAAGGCGACGATTGCTCGTTTTTTATGTCTGAGTCGCGTTTTCGATTGTAAAATTTTAAATGAGGCCAAGAAAAATCAATTTCCGAAGAATTTTTTTTGTTAAATACCAATAGTATAGGTTATTAATGGCTGTATTAAGATCAAATATGATCTGTTTTCAGAAGCTACCTCAAAGATTTTTTATAGGAAGAAATTTTAAAGATTTTTTGTCTTCTTCTCTACGGACACCTCTTAAGGTACATTCCCTTAGGAATGTGAAGGCAGTGTGAGGGGAGCCAAAAAACCTTTGCGTTACAGCAGAATGCAAGGAGCGACAATATTATTGACGATGTCTCAAAGTAACTTTACTTGCATTTGAAATTAACACACGCAAGTGATGGCCCATGGTGAAAAACTTAATGTTAAAATCAAGAACAATGTCACTGTCAAAAAAATTCTTTATTAGTGACCGGTTTCGGCAGCCATCATCGGCAATTCTGCCATCATTCGCAATTCCAGACTCATCAGACCATTCCAGCCATTATGAGCCAAATCAAAAACAGCTGATCGTTTTACTTTATACATAAAATTAATTGCATACCTACGACAAAACAACGTTGTTTTGTCGTATTGCCGAAACTTTGTTATTGTCTGGAATAGGCCGAAATCGGTCACTAATAAAGAATTTTTTTGTGACAGTGGTTTGGACTTTGTTCTTGATTTTAACATTATGTTTTTTTTAATAAAAAAAAACAACAAAGTTAAGTTACTACACTTAGATGCAAGAAAAACGCAAGGAAAATTTTTTTCGTGTTATATTTTTTATTTTTAGTCCTATTTTCATGAGTATTTTAGCGAATTGTTTATAAATGTCAACTTTAATTTATAAACTCAGTTTTTTAATATTTGGCTTCTTATGCAGGGTTAATAGAAAGGCTCGCCATTCGTGGGCCCAGAACCGATACTTAGCGTACCAAAAAATCTCGCAAGAGACAGGCTCTGTGAATGGGTTAGGGGTGCGACGTTTCGGGACTGGTATGACAGTCCCGGAATGGAACATGCCAAGACAATCCTAGCAGGGCCATCCAAACGTAGAACAGACACACACACAAACGTGGAAGACGCCGAATGCCGACTCTGTATGGAAGATGACGAAACAATGAAGGCACGTTATGTGTACCTGCCCTGCTGGGGGCAGGACCAGGTTTGAGGTGTTTGGCAAACCCACGCTAGACCTATCAGACCTAGAAGACATATCACCCTGCGACATAACGGCCTATGTTAAAAGGCTTGGTCTTGAGGGTGAACTTTAATGCACTTTTTCTATTAAATAGCTTGTAGAAACTGAGCTACAATAGGCGCTCGTGGCCGCAGTGGAGAGTCCCACCTGGGACGGTCAAAATACAAAATCTTAGTCAAAATACAAAAAAGGGTTAATAGTATCGTTTTTTATGACCGCCCCTTTAGGGATGTTTTATCCCTTCACTGCTACCAGTTCCGGCACTTGCCAATTTTTAAGCTTCGGTGCGATTTCCACCAACCAGTTCGCCAATCCCTGAGATATAATCTATGAGGATCATGCCCACCCTAAAGTATATCCACGCAAAACGCAGCTGACCCACATTTTGTAGATCGTTGTGTTGCGATCCGATCGTCATTACTTCGTCCAGTGTAGCTTCTTCCAGAGACGCTTTGTGGTCGGTGGTCAAAGCAATCTCTGGGAAATCCTTTGGCAGCACCGTCATTTTCAGTTGTCCAGCAATACCGGCAAAGCTGGTGATACGTCCCAACTTGCCTCCCGGTGTTGGGCGGCTTTCCATCCTGGCTTTTTTCTCTCCCTGTCGGAGAAGACGAGAGAGCCTCTCTTGCTCTTTGATGGAGATGAATCAGGCTGTTTCTTGGTTTCTTTACTCTTCCCTTTTCGGAGGAGTGTTTTCGCTTTTGCCTTCACTGGAGCATGTCCTTCGTGGAGTAGTCGGAGGTATCTCCATGCTTCTGCTCCGCTAAGACCTACTCTCAGAGGATTGTCTAGCCCGCTTGATAGACGAAACGGTAGCTTCTGTCACTTATTGGGTCTAGAGGTAAGCTCCCGACCCTTGCTAGAGAAGGTGGTAGCTTCTATGGCACTGTTGGAGGACGATCTCAAGCAAGTGTCAGCCGTCTCTCTTGTAGTTTCTTTTGGATTTGGTTCCTTTTGAACTTTCATAGATACTGTTCCCAGTGTCGCTAGGGTTGTTTTATACTTAGGGTAAAAAACAACCTTTCGATTATTCCTGTACGATAAGTCAACTACTATGTTTATAAAAAACTGAGTTTACTAATAAAAGTTAATAAATTTATATACAATTTGCTAAAAAAGTCTTGAAAATAGGACTAAAAATAAAAATATATACCATTTTAAATATCACGAAAAAAAATTCCGTCTCTCTCGTTTTTTTTGCATCTGAGCGTATGAATATGTTCTATTTTATTTTAGAATACTTTAAATCTGTTAATAATAATTGTGCATATATAAATTGGGTTGTATAATTAATTTTAAAATAGTAAATGATAAGTTTCTGAATAAATATAATTAAAAATACCATTCACACACATTTTTTAAACAGACCGCTGTATTTTAGTATAAACTTTCTCACATTGTGATTTAAAATGCACTTCCAGCGCGCACCGTCAGCAAAATTTTCCTGCACTACTGTAACAGGATATCTCTGAGATTTGAATACGTTCAATATGAAAATGTTTTACAACGAACTCAGTGACTGAATATTGTTAATATGTTTAAAATAAGCAAATTTTATATCTATCTCTTTTACAAATAAATTGTATTAGTTAGGTACCTAAATAAACACACCGGAAAAATCTAGGGATATCATTTTATTAAAGTTAAAAATAAATGTTTTGAATAAACAACCACATATTTGTAGGCCGATTCTTTCTACTTCGATTGAAACGAAGTAGTCACACTAGTTATTTCTAAATTTGGGATATTTGCAGAAGTGTTTGTGCATTTTTTTGTCAAATGTATAAAAAGCACCTAGCATCAATTGTTCGAATTTAACCTGTACTGGCTATGTTTTTATGATAACTGGTCAGAATTGATTCAAATAACTCTGTTTAGTATTAAACGACATTATGGAGCGTAGACATCTTAACAGAGACGAAATACTAAGGGCCATGGGTATGCTCGAAGCTGGAATGCGCCAAATCGACGTAGCTAGAGCATTAAATACAAGGCAAAGTGTAATATCGCGATTAAGTGCACGCTACCGTGAAAGTGGTGATGTTGCTGAAAGGCACACAGGGCGACATCGCATTACTACCCCTCAGCAAGATCATTTTTTACAATTAAATGCTCGACGCCGACCGACTCTTACAGCACCAGAGCTTAGTTTAATTCTCCAGGAAACACATAATGTAACCGTTAGTCCTGACACTGTTCGCAGTAGATTAAGAGAGGTCAACTTAAGACGCCCCTGGAGAGTTCAACCCTTAACGAGAGGAAATCGAGAGGTACGATATTTGTGGGCTCAAGATCATGTTCAGTGGTCGAATGAACAATGGGCCAATGTTCTATTCACGGATGAGTCACGCTTTGGAATTCATCCGGATTCGAGAAGGCTTAGGGTATGGAGAGAACCGGGAAATCTTATTCGGTTGGATTATGTTCAGGAAGTGCACCCTTATCAAGGTGGAACAGTTACCGTCTGGGGAGGAGTCCAGTTAGGCCGAAAAACCGATCTCGTTTTTCTTGAAAGGTTTCTAACAGGAATCACATATCGTGATTTAATTCTTGAGTCTGTCCTGTTATCATATGCCAATGATTTTGGGAGAAACTTCATTCTCATGCATGATAATGCACGGCCTCATACAGCCAGAGTGGTAAGTGAGTTTATCAATGCTCATCAATTAAACATCTTACCCTGGCCAGCACAATCTCCTGACCTCAACCCCATCGAGCACGTATGGGACGCGGTCCAAACTATTATACGCGTCCGGTAAACTATTTGTTTATTTTAATTTTATTATATCAGAAATGCAAATAATAAAATTACTCACGATGGCTGGATAAAATTGTAATATCCCTAGACTTTTCTGGTGTGTGTATATTTATAAGGTTATCTATTTTTATTCCGAGTGTATTCAGAGGAATCTTTTCCATTTTACGATTTTTATGATACTATTTAAATAAGTCAGATGTTAAACATAATTAGAGTAGCTAAAATTGGGTTAGTTCAACTTACATCTTAGGTTCGTCCTTATGCAGGAACGTTGTCACCTGCATGTCACTTGGAAGCCACTTAGATTGAAAGATTTCATATTGATGTGGAATCTTTTGTAACTTCGAGGCTTTTGATTTCCTTGTTCTCTTGCAGCTCAACTCTTCCAGCAGAAATAAGATAAACATTAAAGCTAAACCGTATTTGAACATCATCTGAAATATAAAACTTCAATTAATGTCAGTTTTTAATCTTCTGCTTATGACGCTAAGCGAAACGTTAGCGTTCGGTGTTAAAAGTAAGTGTTTTGGTGTATTGTACTAAATTAGTGTTTCATTTTACTTTAATTTATAGAGGTTCCTCACGTAAAAATAAAATGTATTTTTTATATCATCATAGGTTCGATTCTGTTTTTGTTTCTGCTGTTTCGTAGTTTTTTTTTATCATTTTCTTTGAAGTGCGTTTAGCGATTCGATTGAACTTTTTTAGGGTAAAACTCACTATCAGTGCGACATAATTTAATGCTATAAGTGCCGATATACCGGGTGCGTCTCGAAAGTGCCTCACCCCTATAACTTTTTTATTCTTTTTAGATAAAAAAACGAGATTTGGTATGTTAGTATACGACCTAAATTAGGATTGATTGACGTATTCAATTGTTTTTGGTCACTTCCTGTTTCGCCGGAAATGACTATAACTTTTGATTTTTAAATGACACCCACCGTATATTTCTACTTTATTGGATAGAAAGTGGCACTCTGAATAGAATAACATAATTTAAAAAATAATCGTATTTTAAATATCAATCTAGAGTGCCATGGCTGTGTAAAAAATACTAATTTTTAATCAAGGAGCTTTAGAAAAATATTTTTGATCGTCTAATGTTTTTCGTGTCTTGTCCTGATCGGTTAAAAGATGCCCAAATCGTATTTTTAATCATATCTCAATTTTTTCAAATGGAACAAGGGTGGCTCATTAGCATATTTGGAAAAAGCATTTTTTACGAATAATTTGATATCACACACTTGGTATTTCGAGTCAAATTGTCGTTATGAAACGCGTGTTACAATTTCAAATAAACCATGTGCGAAAATATCAAAAGTTGACATGTGATATGTCATTCTATTCAGAGTGTCATTTTCTATTGAATAAAGTAAATAAAAATACCGGGGGTATCATTTAAAAATCGAAAGTTGTAGTCATTTCCGGTGAAACAGGAAGTGACCAAAAATATTTGAATACGTCAATCAATCCTAATTTATGTCATACATTAACATACCAAATATCGTTTTTTATCTGAAAAAATAAAAAAATTGTAGAGGTTAACTTTTGAGACTCACCCGGTATTACCATATTATGTATTTTCTTACAGTGTTTTAATAACTAAAAATTCATATATATTTTTGAATTTATAGCGGCACAGTAAAGTAAAATTACTGCATTAAAATATAACTTATTGGATAAAAATTGAATCAAAAAATTGAAATTGAATAAAAAAAATCATTTAATTGTTTTTATTTTCGTAAATTAATTGAAAATGTGTGTTTTTTTGAAGTCTCTGTATATTTATGAAACTTGATAAATAGATATCAAATCAAATTCTGAACAATTTTTGTCTTTCACTTTTTTGGATATTTGGTCAATCAAGATCAGTACACCATTAGATATTTGTAGTATGTCGCACAACATCATGATATGATTAATAATGAAATTGAAGATGCTGTGAAATTGAAGAAAGCTAAATTATAAAATATTTCCCATTTGTTGCGATTTTTTTTTTGTACTACCTGTATTTAGTAGGTAAAGTTGAAAGAAAAGTATAAAGAACCAATATTATTTTTAGGTGTTTGGTTCACATTTTAATGTTTGCTTGTAATATAAGATAGATCGTAAATAACACGTTAATAAAAGCATCATATTATGGAAATTCTAAAAGTTTACCCGAGTGCATTCCCGTAATCGAGAACAAAATATAGTATAGGCTAGCCCAAGCAAACACAAATTATCTCCAAATCATAAATGCAAACATTCCCATCCACGTCTAATATTTTTCAATGTTAAAAGGAAAATGCTGTTACAGTTAAACATAAAATATGTTCATCCGTCGTTTCAGGGTAAATATTATCGCACTTTAAATTATTGTATTGGCTTATTTGCTGTCTTAAATTGTAGTTTTACTACTTATTGCTTCGATAAAGTTAGTTTTAGTTCGGCATCTTTAATAACTTGTTTTTTTTTTACATAGCTTGTGGGTATGTATTCATTAATTGGTTCTCTTATTTCTGATGAACTTATCTCTGTCTGTAATGATATTGTTACTTGCTAAATGATGGATACTATTGATATTTTGAAAATAATTAATTAAACTCGGCTGGTCCAAAATTTTTCAAATTTGGCATGTGTATTGGGCATAGGCAGACCTTTAAAAAACCTATTTACGACTAAATAGGGCAGCCAGTATTTGGACAGTTCAAAATTAGCATGGCTTCTGACGCTGATGCACCACCCGGTATAAAGATTATTACAAAACACCATTGTCGTTTCACATTTATTAAATTCACTGCATTATTCTATTTTTTTTTCACCTGAATATTCTTTATTACAATTAGACGTAGGTTAGGCTAGGTTGCTGGGGTATGGGATCATGTTTGATCCCTCACTCGGAGGCTTTGGACCCATTGCGATACCCCTGTATTATTGTACTAAAGCTTCCTCTCATTCTTTCTTTGCATTAAAGCACTTCTAGCTCTTTGCCAAGTTCCCGATGTCGCTGATGCTGGCTTCCGCTGCTTCCTCTAGTCCCTCCAAAAAACCTTACCTTACAGTTTTAAAGCGTTATTATATCAACAATTAGAGGTAACCTGAACTTATTCTTATTCATCGGACAGCAAACTAAGTATTGAAATAAAACATAAGAGTGAAATTTAGTCATTTCAAATCGTTACACTAAAATCACAGACGTCTGCCGAAAGTTCTACAGTATAGTAGAGACTTCATATAGTTTTTTTTAACTTTTTAATTAACCTCATATGCCTTCTTACTGTATACTATGCATTTAGTAGACAACAAACTGCAGGAAAGACGATGGGCATTAAATACAGATACGACGGCGGTCTGTTCAACATAGAAAGACTCAGGGCAAAAACACGTATAAAATTCATCACAGAACTTCAATACGCTGATGATTGCGCTCTAGTTGCAAAAACGTTACAACAATTATTATAAGAAATGCTGAACACATATACACGGGCACGAGGCTTTGGACCTTAAGCTAAACATCGATAAAACTAAAAGCATATCATAACAATGCTATAAAAATCGGAGAAGAACTATTGGAATATGTAGCGGAATTTAATTACATCAGCAGTTTGATTTAGGAAAATGCCAATATCGACTTTGAAATTCAGCACAGGGTTAGCAGCACCTCAAGAGTATTCTGGAAATGAATAGACAGGGTTTTCTACAATCATGACTTGATCACAAAAACGAAACTTGCAGTGTACCGAGCAATAGTAATCCCCACCATGTTATATGGAAGCGAAACCTGGGTGCCGTACCGTCGGCACATGAACTCGTTAAACAAGTTGCAACAGAGACACATTAGAGAACTGTTAGGAACCCAATGGTACCACTACTAAATCCCGCTTAAGATGCGCTGGTCACATATGCAGGATGTAAGAAAACCGCCTACCGAAATATCTTCTTTACGGTGATCTTGTAGAGGGTAAGAGAAAACCGGGTGGACAACTCAAAAGGTACAAGGATATTTTCCATGAAACTTAAAGGGGACAAACATGCAGGTTCAGTAGGAGGAAGCAACGCACAAAAGAATGCAATGGAGAAGAATTATAAACTCAGTTAACAACGACAACCAAATAGTAAAGAGGCAACAAAGTAATCAGATGTTTGAATGTCCGGAGTGCGGAAGAGGGATAACATCACGTATCGAGCTTTACAGGCACAGAAAAGCTCATGAAAGAAAGCGCCTTGGGTAACTATCTTTTGATGCGTGTCAAATACCAGTACTCGTCAACGAATAGTAGTTTAATGGCAGTAAGTAAGTAATGCATTTAGATATCTTCTGAAAAAATATGGAGACATATAGCACCGAGAAATACAGAACCTTTTGGTTAAGTGTTTGGTTTAGAATTGAGCAAATAGTTCTTTAACTGCGAGAATAAATTTAACGTCTAGAGAAATGAGGGATTTGTACCCAAAAATATATAGATTTTATTGAAAAAATGTTTTTTAAAAAAAGCAACCTTGGTTAGTTATTAACTGACACTAAAACCTGATGAGATATATGGTTAAAAAAATCGATTTAGATGATCATAGATTCCATAGACGTTCCATTATGACTGAGGTTTGTGGTAAGTGTAAATAACCAGATCTCTTCCAGATTAGCGCTGTCGCGTCGTCAAAAAAGAGACGTTAACTTAATAAGTAAAGCTGCGTTCACATAGCTCGCGAGCAGACCGAACAAACACGTGAAGCACGAAAAACATGGCAAACAGTCGGAACGATATGTTCGCGGCGCTCGAGACACTAGAGCGAAAATAGAACACTATGTTTATATTGACTACTTATCTTAATCTGATCTTTGAGAACTTTATTTATATTTTGGCATACGCCCGGTATTATTTTTGAAATGCTTTGCTTGGAAATTTTGAATAAATAACCCAAACAGGCATGTGAGTCTCTAGTTCTAAGGAGTCTTAATGTTATGGCCAATCTTTATTTAACTCTTTCTTTAACCGTAATACACTTCCTAAAAGTTGTATTTATTCTTCATATACGGGGGCCAACTAAATTAATAATTCTTTCAAAATCAGTAGCGGACATGCGATAAAAAATGTTAAAAAAATATTCTGTCTGTTTGTAAATCGCGTAGATGTGTACTTTGACTGTGCTGGGATCTACTTTTCAAATTATTAGACATCCAACACCGCCTTTTTTTCTCTTTTTCTCCTTCGTTTTGCAATACTGATCGCACCGCTATTAAAAATACTTCGGTATCATCAATGTCCGAACAGCACGAACGCAAGCACTACATTACAATGTGGACGCCGCGCCGTCGCTTCCGAGTCGAAAGATCCTGAAAAACACGACCAACAGGAAGCGCAAGCAACGCAAGCACAATCAGAAGCAAGGGCGCGAGCAGGATCACGACCAATGTGGACGCACCTTAAGACTCAAGTAATTGAGATACGAAGCACATTATAGTACCGTGTAGGCTTGCGAATTCTCTCTGATACATTTCATAGATATTCTTACGTTGCCCGTTATTATAACTAAAAATAATTCTTTGACATTTACTTATGACTTCGGCACGACCGAGCTATAGTTTGGCGTGAGGTTATAATAAAGAATATTTTACGTATCTGACCAGAAATTCGCATTAAGCTCGAGCTTCGTGAGTGCAACCAAGACAATGAAGTAAAAAAAACATAATATTCGCTAGCTGCTTTGGGAGATATATTTTCGAACAAAATATGTACTACTGATGTTTGTAAATATTGCATTTGCAAACAGGAAATATGATGTAAAGATTGCAGAAAAATAAATACGTTTTGTAATTTAGTGCATATGCTTAAAAATCACTTTACTTTATAACAATCAGTTATTTTTTTCTTTTCTTTAAAAACATTAGATTATAAATATCATATTACAATTTATTTTTATTATTTTTATTTTTTATTATTATTACTATTTTACTACTTCATTGAAATTTGTAGAGCTTTTTGAATGAATTTAGATTAGATTTGTTAGCTGGTTCTAGTTTTGTTAGCTAGCTCTCTAGTTCTATCCTTTTCAGTCTAATAACTTGGAGACTGAACCCTCCACATAGCTCTTTATTAAAGAGTTTTAACTGTTTATTAAAGAGTTTTCTATTTTCTTCTTCAGACTGACCAAATCAGCACATACAGGCTTTGTCCATAAACTTATCAGCTTTAGATGCCTATTGCCATGTTAGTAGACCCACAGCTTTGACAGTCTCCTTGTCTTTGCTTATCGTTGCTTATCATATTGTATATGCATTATATTGAATATGTAATAGATAAAGAAAGTATCTACTACGAAGTTTTTCGTCTGTCTCTGCCCTTGTGAATTTTTCCACCATTCTAGGGATTTGTTGGTCAGTTACTGTTTTGTGGCCATTCTTGTAACTGCTTTTGTAGCGTCTCAGAAGATTTGAGTGGGAAAAATTAAACTGTGCCATGAGATTTCAATGGGAAAGAAGTTAGATATGTCTGAAGACAATAAAACTAAAAACTATAGCATTTGAAGGAGTTAATGTAATATATGTTCAGTGGGAAACATAATTATACAGGGTGAGTCTTAAATAAGTACAAATATTTTCAGGGTTGGTATTGCAAATATTTTCCCTTTACCGTTTTTTGAATAAGTCCAAAATAACAGAGATATTTTAGTTTGAAAATTAAAAAAAATACTTTTCGCTTAAATTTTGAGAACCGTTGGATCTTTCTCTGGGTTTTCTTTCTTGTAAATTTAGTCTACTACCTATGTTGACATAATGAAGATATTACATTTTTCAACTAAAAAATTTGAAAAAATTCCAAAATTTTTTTCAAAAAATTCGAAATTTTCAAAATTTTTTTCACGAAAAAAACTTCATATTTAGACAGGTTTCTGGGGTCAAAATGTACCACCCCTGTAAATATTTGCACTTATTTAAGACACACCCTTTATATTTTTGTGGAATTAATAGCATTATGGTGTATATTAAAACTGAATGGAAATAAATAAAAGTTATTAAGATGCCATTTAAATGATATAGATTTTACTACAAGAGTCTTAAGTAAGTTAAAAATTGGTATCCAAAAATTACACGGCTTACTCTCCGTCATAAGGAAGAGAAAGAGTATCCGGAAATTACAATCTGCTTAGTGAAATTATAAGCTATGGACTTGGACTTGGCTACAACAATAAAACTGTGACAGCAAATTCTAATACAAATAATCTTTTAGAAAACGCGGGAGATTTAAATATTTATTAATCAAGATGGTGACTGGTCATTATCATTTTTCAATTGAAATGTGATTGATATAATTAACTGAAAATCTAATGATTATTTTCCACAGTTCATCAGAACAGTGCCAGGAAGACAATGGATGAGATTGGCGATGATTTGGAGATTGCGAAGCATGGAAAACCGTAGAAGAAGCCTATATCCAACAGTGAGAAAGGCTGATGATCCAACCAGGCTGAGAAAGAAGAAGAAGAAGAGAAGAAGAAGATTTAATTGTCAAAGTACCTAGTGCTGCCCTTATGTTTTAGTTTAAAAGAGTTGGTAAAAAACAGGTTTTAAAAAACATAGACAAGAAAATGGAAAAATAGGTATAAACTATCAGGAAATTAACTGAAATTCTAGGGTTACCAAGTTTAAAATATTACTAATTAAAAAAAACGCATTTCTATTAATTTATAGGTATATAAATATTATCCTTAATATTATTATACGAAAGTATTAGTACCAGTATAGGTTTTCAATACAATTTTCTTCTGTCATAAAAATTACAACAGTATATTTATTTAGTAATAACTGCAATTTAGTAGTAAATAATTGCAACTGTCTTTTAGTCATTTAAATTAACAGTTATCGAAGTAAATAAGAGGTAAACATAAAAGTGTTAATTTCCTTTTTTATTGTCTATTGTATTACTGATATTATGGGCGTTATTTAATTGTTATTTATATAGAAATATTTTCTTGTATTTTGTTCTATAAGGGATTTAAAAAGATAGAGATATTTTCTTGTATTTTGTTTTATTAGTCATTTAAAAGATAGATTGTAATGATAAACAGCAATGTCGAACAATATTGCTAACAAGGATTGTGATTCTCAATGCAAGTTAGTTCATTTTAGTGGCAAGTTAAATATAAAATAGGTGATTTTTGGGATGGTAACATTTTTAATAGCAGTCTCCCTTAAAGTAATTAATTTGATAATAACTATGTAACAAAATATAATATAAGCATCATTTATTCCCTTTTTAAATTAATAAATTTAACAAAATAAATATATGTAAATTTTACTTAACTATTCTTTTTTTGTTTTTTTTTTCTGATCTACGCACAAATAAATAAATAAAATTAGAAATAAATTAAAAATATACAGACAGATAAAAAAAATAAAGTTATAAATTAAATAAACATTTAAAAAAATACTAATAAGATAAAAAAAAGCATTTATTCCTAAGAGATTTATTAAATTTTCATAATTTTATGATTAATGAGTAATAATAATTTAATAAAAACAACATAATAAATATGTTAATTTCGTATTACAAACTAGATAACAAAAAATTATATGAATAAAAATTATTTATTTTCTGACTTTTCCAAACAACGCCACTAATGTTCAAGATTTAGAAATATACATTTAAAAAACATACTAAAGAAAAAACTTAAAAATAACTGAAAACAAAATTAAATCGCAAGTGGAACATTTTTGATAAACTGAAAATATATTTTAATAATATTGTAGAAATAATATCAATATTTAGAGCTCTAAGCTTATTATAGATTTTTCTGCCTATAATAGTTAGTTTTTAATGAAAATATACAAAATAACAAAAAAAAGCTTAAATACATAAATACCTTTTTTCCATAGCAACTGTTAAAATTGCCTTATATCTATCAAAAATAGTAGATAAAATAGTACTTTAACCGCAAAGGTAGATTAAATGATACTTTAACAGTGAGGATAGGTTAAACACTTTATTTCTTTTCGCACGTTTTTTAATTGCTTCCATTTTTGCAAATTCGTGTATTCCTTTTCATAAGTTATTCGGGATTTAGATGGAAGTAGTTTGGATATATGGCGTTTGTCGCCTCAGCCTGAATATCTGTTGGTAATTTACTTATTTCGTTTTGAGCCATTTCTGCCTCCAATTCAATCAGCAATCGACACGAAAGAGAATTAAAAAATATTGACTCAAAACTGATAACTAAAGAGACAGCTTTATTTATTTGTGAAATTACATAGAAACCAACGTCAATCCAGCACAATATTTTTTCTACTCGTAATAAATTCCTTGAAATAATTTCTGAATATTTTTTAAAACGTAACTCGCTATGGAAAAAATATTGTTTTATATACGACGATAAAATTGCATTATCGTCTTTTGACTGATTTTTATTATTTTTCGACCGAAATTTTTATTTTAAAACACTACAGAAATAAATCCAGTATTTTTATTCTCACTGTATACTACTACCCCTCGCAGAGCCTTCCATGCGAAATTTACTTAATGAAAAATATTATTTAAAAAATATTGATATATTATAAGAAAACACGACTTAATAATTAAAATTAGAGTATTTTAATTAAACCATAGAATAAGATATCAATATTTAGAGCAATAATAGGCTTAATTATTTTGCATAATGCTTAGCGTTTAATACAAAAATACGCGACATAATAAAAAATAATATATAAATACCTTTTTTCTCTGATTTTTCCTTTTCCGAAGAAGATTTTATAGCAAAACACCACAAACAGGCAATAAATCCAGTATTTTCACGGTCACTATTAACCACCCTTTCCAGAAATCCCTCTATTATAAGAGTCGCTCGCGTCTTCTGTCGCAATCTCGTCGCAACTCGCAAGTTGCCCGCAAGTCGTCGGTCGCCGTGTGTCATACACGCGGACTCGAATAGCTCTTCAAAGATCTTTTTTCGTAGTGGACGTAGTGGTGTGAAATTTCTTTCGTTCCCGATCCTTACTGATCCGTTGTCGTGGTAGTCCTGCCATCTCACCCCACCACTGTGGATTTCTGACAAGACGACTCATTCTCCTGTAGTATCAAAATAGACTTTGATAGTATTTTTTACTGTGTTTTCAAACCTATAATTATCACTAAAATTGCATAATAGATGTATAAAAAATAACAATGAAAAACAGAACAATATTATTTATAAATATGAATTAAGAAATACTCCTAATAACTGCTTGTATAAAAGCTGGCATATCTAAAAGTAGGTAGCAGAAAGTAAAAAAAAAAATAATAAAATAAATACATAATTTGACTCAAGTTTCATTTACTTGAAATCACTTATGTAAGAAATACAGGGTGGCGCCTCTCATAGGCCGCTGAAGCTCCAAGGAGAACGGTAGTTTATATCGAAATATAATTTTAGCAACATATCTAAGTTAAATGAAAGCATTTTATAAAAATATATAGAATTATACAGGGTGTCTCCAAAAAAAAGTTACACATCAAAGTTATGTTTTTTTTTAACGGAACACCCTATATTTTAATTGATTTTCGGATTCTAGGTAAAAATAAATGTGAGTTTTATTACAGAAGCATATACCTAAACTGTAAGGATTTCGACATATATCACATTTTGTGAAAATGAAGAGTAAATTTTAAATTTCGATACAGCTACGTAAATTTTAGTTGACCTTGTATAGCCTGATATTTAATTACTGTAACCATTGTATGTTAAACCAAATTGAAATTTGACTCGAAAAGTTATACAGGGTGAGACAAAATTAATATGGAACATTAGTCACTTTTAAAAGCAAGTTACTCCTTTATTTTAAATGGAACACCCAGTATATTTTTTCGGTGTTCAGTGGGAAATTTATATATCTTCAAAATATTATTAAGGTTGTCTACCCCTCAGACAAAGATTTTCCTAGATATTTAAATATTTATGATTTGCGTCATTAGATCTTAATTATTTGAAAAAATTTAGGTGGCTGTGAAATATACCTTTTGTTAATTTAACAAAAATTACTCGGTAAAATACTCAACGGTAATAAAAAGATACACGTTTAAAACATATTTTAATTAATACAGAATTAAAACTAGATATAAACCTATAATTTTGTGACAAAGATTAGCTAGATTAAATCAAATGCTCAAAATGGTTCCTTTCCTGTTAACTGCATAAAATGATTTTCTTTTCAAAAGGTTCTTTTCATCTTAAAAGGCATATGTGGAGTTCTACCTCGAAAAGCAGCTACAATAATTTCTCTCATGTTGTCGACAATATTTGGTCGAGTTTTGTAAACACTGTCTTTAACATATCCCCATAAAAAAAAACCCAGACTACATAAAATCAGGAGCATTTAAGTATTCTATTAATTGGTAAATGCACACTGCATTCACCAACTAATAGAATCATATCAATTCTCTCTGGTAGGATAAGTTTGCATTTTCGGCAAATTTCTGACAGTTTTTTTTGTTTTAACTAACACAAAATTATAACTAGTTGTTAATGTTGGACTAATTAGACAGTTATGTTGAAGTAACGTCAGATATATCACAGCCACCTAGTGTTTATCAAATAATAAAGATCTACTCAAATCAAATCATGTAAATGAAAATATTTAGGAAAATCTATGTTTGAGGGATAGGCAACCTTAACAGTATTTTGAAAAGGCATGAATTCTACATTGAATATCGGAATAATATACTGGATGTTCCATTTAAAATAAAAGAGTAACATGCTTTTAAAGATGACCAATGTTCAATATTAATTTTGTCTCACCCTGTATAATTTTTTGGATCAAGTTTTAATTTGATTTAAAGTACTATAGTTAATATAGCATAACTATGTATAATGTATAGTATAACTACATATTAGGCTATACCGGGTAAATTCTAATTTAGGTAGCTTTTATTGTAATTTAATAATACCTTACATTTTAGTCGTAAACTGATCAACTGAGATCATTCTCTGATAAAACTCACCTTTATTTTTCTCCTAAAATCCGAAAATCAATTAATATATAGGGTGTTCTATTACAAAAAACCCAGCTTGTAACTTTTTTTGGGGACACCCTGTAGAACTCTCTATATTTTTAAAAAGTGCTCTAAATTAACCTACATATGCTCACAAAATTTCATTTCAATACAAACTGTCGTTCTCCTTGGCGCCTCCCTGTATTTGGTTATTTAATATTTGGAAGTCCTTTCGAATAGTAATGTCATAAAAAAATTTTTGCGGAAATGCATCCTTTTCGAGTTTTTCAACTTTAGAATAGCTAAAATCAAGGCTACTTTTGTTTACTTGAAATCAGTTATGAAAAAATATTTGTTTATTTAGTGCTTGGAAGGGGCCTTTCCAAATAGTAAGTAACGAAAATTTTTCTGCAAAAATATACAATTTTCAGTTTTTCAACTTTATAATAGCTGAAACCAGTACCATAAACAAACTACAAACATTTGAACTATCGAATTTCTACTGTACTATTTCCGTGGAAAAATACTTTATCGTAAATATTAAAAGAAAATAATTTCCTACATTAAATATAAGAATTCAATTGGGTTTGGATCCTAAGTTTCAAACACCATCTGGCCGACCGGGCGTGTGATTTTGGTCTTTGTCTTGCATAAACCTAAGACCAAGACTAGAGTTTGATCTGTAAGACCTAGACCGACCAGTGCAAGAGTTTCGCAAGACCAAGCATGCAAGACTCTTGTAGTCTTGCGGTTTTGTATTTTTTCACGTCTATATGAGTGCAAATATTTTCGGAACATATTTTCTCTTTACCTTTGAAAATTTTAAACAAAAATGATTTTTTAAAAACTAAAAAAAAATTCCATTTTTTTTTCAAAAAATTCCAAATTTCCAACTTTTTCCCAAAAAAAAACCATAATTGTGTATGGTGTTTCGCGGGTCGAAATACACTATATCTGAAAATATTTGCACTAATTTAAGACTCACCCTGTATATGTGTTCCCTAATAGTATCCTATCATCAGAGAATATATTATGTATATTTATAAGTAGATACACTATCTTGTAGAAAGCCAAGGTCTATTGCTAGCTTAAAATAATAGACATTCGTCCAAATAAAAGTGTCAATTTAAAATTAAAATGTGTGTAACCGTTTTGTCACACTTGCGGTCCTAATGAAAAACTTGTGTTTTCAAAATGTCTTTAAAACAAATTTTTAACACTTTATTTTTATTGGGCAGCTGACTTAAAAAATCAAAATGCTGAATGATATAGACTAATATACAAGTTGTTCTGAATTGCCGGGATGTAATTTTACTTTTTTAATATTTTCTAATTTATTTTTAAAATTTATTTGTATTTCAGTGACTTTTTTTCATTCGTTTTATTTTTGTTAGTTTGTTTATTTATTTATTTTTATGAATATGATTATTTCATGTAAGTTTTATAACCTTGAAACAAATCTATATATCATAGCAAATAAACTTTTAGTCACGTGATTAAGCTTGACTGGCACAGCGTTGCCCACTTTTACATATTTTCTTTTAACTAAAATATTTTAAGAAACAAAAATAATTTAATTATAATTATATAAACAGTTATTATTTACATCAACAAAACTCACCTCCTTAACAGCACTTAAGCTCCTTAACAGCACTTAAGCACTTATATAAAGGGTCATTACTGCCACTTTCCCGTTCAAAATATTCTAATAAGTTTGCGATGAGTTTTTTGTCTATTCTCGTCTATTAAGCTATCTTGTGAACACTTCGCACTAAAAGAGGTTTTAAAAAGAACAATGTTCGACTGCAAGGACTGCTTGTAAAAAATGTTAAGCTTAAAGTATCGCAACACAATTCATTTAAACCAAAAACGCTTAATACAAAACTAAAAAAAACGAATGATAATGTAAAAGGAAAAAAATAAATAAATGCGGCAACTTGACATTAGACAAGCCACTTAGTATACCGGGTGCATCTCGAAAGTGTCTCACCCCTATAAGTTTTTTATTTTGTCAGATAAAATAACGAGATTTGGCATGTTAGTATATGACATAAACTAGGATTGATTCATTCTCAGTTTTTTTTTCTAAAAATTGGTGAAAATCCATAAAAATTCAGGAAAATGTAGCAGAAAAAAGTATTTTTTTCTTATGTAGAACACTATAACCTAATGTAAATAAATCTGATAAACTTAAAACCTGCAGAATTGAGCCAGCATGTCTCATTTTTTCTAACCTCAAAAAACCTACCACAAGTCATGATTTTCGAAAAACGCACGGATCTTAACCAAAATCGGTACAGGGTTTTTTTAGGTTGCTGATTATGAATCTGAAGTCGGATTCGCAAAATTCAAAATGTCGGATCAAATATGGCCGACGCGAATTTCAAAAGACTACTTTTTGTCTATTCTCGTCTATTAAGCTATCTTGTGAACACTTCGCACTAAAAGAGGTTTTAAAAAGAACAATGTTCGACTGCAAGGACTGCTTGTAAAAAATGTTAAGCTTAAAGTATCGCAACACAATTCATTTAAACCAAAAACGCTTAATACAAAACTAAAAAAACGAATGATAATGTAAAAGAAAAAAAATAAATAAATGCGGCAACTTGGCATTTTTTACGGCAGATCTACCACCTGAATCCCCAGCGGGAAATTTAAATTACAGTTAGTCAGTCCGGCGCCGAATATGTCCATGGTTGGCAACAATGAATTTAAAAATCGCGCCCTCGATTACGTATATACTAAAAGTTTAATTGGTATCGCTTATATACAGGGTGCGAAACTGTATTCCGGAAATTTCGGCAACATATTCTGCAGATAAAAATAAGTAAACATTTTTTTATAAATGTATGTCCTAAAATGCTTAGTTTCGGAGATACAGGGTGTAGAAGTTTCATTTTTATTTCGATTTTTTTCAAATAATTTCCGAAATAACGTCAATATTTGGATGAAAATTGGTATCTAGGAGTTTTGTGACACGAGAAATTTGATTTTGATGTCAA